TTTCGTACACTAGTTGGCTTATGGAAACCATGCAGAAATGAGTGGTGTGCTTTTGTAGTGAAAACTACACTTAAGGGCTATTATGAATATCCAGAGACGTCGGTAAAGAGAGTATGACCGGGAGTGGAGGCCTGGACTTGAACTGCTTAGTGAGGGTCCAAAATTTTAATATAACGTACTGAATATCTGTATACTATAGATACCAAGTGTACGTAACGTTCATAACACTATAAACTATGACCACACCGACTCTCCAGTGTTTATATTCGAGGTCAGTACCAATATATTATAAAAACCATCCTCCTATTCATGTTTGTATATCACTGGAGTAGGAGTATTAAGTATCCAAATATTATATCATTAGGTTACGATTACAAAATCTCCAAGGTTCATAGCTTTAGATTATGAATAACAAATCCTCAAGATCTGTATCCAAATTATGAAAAGCTGTGTCTAAGGTTAATATTTCAAGATTATAGGTATTTAGTCTCAAATGTTGACTACTGAGTCTTCAAGGTTCATCTACTAAATAATGACTATAAACTCTACTGACCCACAGAGTTTTAGGACTAATATATACCAAATTTCTCATACACGTATATATCATCAAAGCATGATTAAAATAATTCAAGGCTTGCATAAATAGACCATGACTATTAGGTTTCACAGATCCATGCCACTAGACCGCTGCTGCTCACAAATGGTCAAGTGTTTAATACGTATATTGTTCTTTGTTACAACAAATAAATTACATGGAACAGTGATATAAACTTTCAAAACATGAACGGCACCTAGTACTTAGGTTAAACAGTCAGGTCAGAGACTTCTAGGATTTAATTATAGCCGTACCTAGTTTTGAGCTACTGACCAGAAGAGAGGAAGCCGGCCAGCAGCACCCGCCACGACAAGGACTTTGACCGGTTCTTTGAATAACCGATTGAGGGAAGTGACTGTGACTTTTATAACGTGTCCACAGCTGAAAGTATGGATTATGCTCGGCAGCATCACGTCTCGAACTTAGGACTTTTCGATCCACATGCACTCCGACATCTGACCACAATATCACGTTTGGCCACCCTTGAACATGAGTTTACTGACTCCACAATTAGTAAGTAGTATCTAAAATATCTCGTATTTTTTACTTAAAAGTTTGATATGGTAATGATGGATTATGAATTCTTGTATAAATTTGTTAAAATCAAAAAAGAAGGATCACAAAAGTATTTGGTCTCTATAATGGTATTTCAAATTCAAACAGAAAGCAGTGTATTTATTCAATAAAAATAACTTAATTATTAAGGAATAAACCTATTGAATGTATTTAGAGCTACTTGTGAAAATGATTAATTAAACTGTACTAAAAAATTTTAACCACCCACTTTCCAAAAAACGAATGCACTAACATGGCTAAGAAGAGGAATTGTATGCTGATCCTTGGAATTTTATATTATGTAATTATGACAGAGAGAGTCAAGAGCTACTCAAAGTTCGAAGTTTAGTAATTCCATTGCCCAGTATATATTAAAGACGTTTCCAGCCAATGAAACGATAATTAATATAAAAAAAAGCAGATCTGGTGGATCAAAAGTAATAGATGAAAGAGTTAATCACCTGATTCCGAGAGAGTTGAAGAAAGACATGTCATAATCTCTGCAATCGGCAAAAAACACACGAAAGAACACAAGCAAACAGTTGAAAGTGTCATGATTAGTAGATGTACAAAGAAAGATTTCATGATGGAATTGCAAGAAAGTTGTTTATTTCTCAAAAACCAAAAGCAAAGAACAGTAAGAGACCGTCGGAGTTTACAAAACAACATGTTATTAAATCAGCAGCTTTGATCAGTTTTGTTTACTTGTGAAATAAAAAGGAACTACTTTTGCTTAGATGGTTAAAAGGAGTTTCCTAAGATGAAGGCCAGCTCAGTTACCTGGTTTAACACACTAAACACATGTGTAAGAGTGAAAGCAAAGCCTACAGAAAAACCATAGGGATAAGTTGAAGACATTGCAGAAAGAAAGGAGAACATTCCTACTTCATTATGCAAGAAATGCATCAAAATAGTGCCAAATATACGTAGAGAAGCAATAAGAAATCAAAAAGGACCAACAAAATGCTAAAATGCTCAATAAAAAGCGACCAAATACTTTTGTTTTTCATTCATTTCGTCTATAAAGCAAATTAAAAAGTTATGGAAATTGCAATAAATTAGATCAATCTTGTAAATAATTCATACTAGGGATTAAGTGAATGTCTGGGCTAATTGTTGTATTTAGTAACTGGGTGCTAATACGTCACTCAAAATACAACAACTGAAGAATTATTTTTTACACGAAGAATATAAAAGTGATCATTATAGAGTTTGACACAAATAAAGCGTGATATACATTATACGTTAGTAAATGACATTCGTTGAACATTAAATATTCCTTTAAGATTTGTTACATTTAATAAAATGTAATGAAAGCCAGGGAAAGATTCATCACTGTTTGGCCAAATGGCCTAATGTGAGTCAAGTTTAGGTAGTCAGACATTGGCTTGGTGAGATTAAGAAATGGCCTAATGTGAGTCAGATTTAGGTAGTCAGATACTGGCTTGGTGAGATTAAGAAATGGCCTAATGTGAGTCAGATTTAGGTAGTCAGACACTGGCTTGGTGAGATTAAGAAATGGCCTAATGTGAGTCAGATTTAGGTAGTCAGACACTGGCTTGGTGAGATTCACATTGAGAATTTTGTCCTACTCTGATAAATGATTTAGAACTTGTTTTAAATGAGACAAACTTCAAGATTTCGTAGTCTCAGACTGATTTCCAGTTATTTGCAATAGCTAGTTGGAAAAGATATCACTGAAGATAAATCTGTTGGCTGCTTATCGGTCAACAAAACATTTTATACTAGAACGTTTGTGGCTTTTAATACCAATACTATTCAACATTTAAGATTTCTCTGGATTTTTTAAACAAGATCTAGTTAAAGTTTGACCAAATGGTGAACGTGGGTGTTTTATTTCTTTACACTTCACTCTTATGTAACTGTAATACATGACCGCTAGTTCACCGCTATCGACATATGTACCCCTATCGTATTTACTAAAGTGTGTACTCCAGTAAATACCTATTCACACCCTTGTGTGTCGCTATGATATGCACAAGTTTGAATATTTTAATGCACATCGGCCCACGTACGTGTGTATTTCACTATGGTATATATATTAATGTATGTATTCCAGTAATATCGGTCCACCTGTGTGTGTATGTGTGTCACTATGATATATATAAACGTGTGTACTCTAGTGCACGTTGGTTCAAGTGTGTGTATATACCACTATGATATACAATAATTTGTGTACTTCAGTGCACATCGGTCCATGTTACTATAATATACAATAATTTGTGTACTCCAGTGCACATCGGTCCATGTTACTATAACATACAATAATTTGTGTACTCCAGTGCACATTGGTCCATGTCACTATGACATACAATAATTTGTGTACTTCAGTGCACATCGTCCCATGTCACTACGACATCCAATAATTTGTGTACTCCAGTGCGCATCGTCCCATGTCACTATGACATCCAATAATTTGTGTACTCCAGTGCACATCGTCCCATGTCACTATGATATCCAATAATTTGTGTACTCCAGTGCACATCGTCCCATGTCACTATGACATCCAATAATTTGTGTACTCCAGTGCGCATCGTCCCATGTCACTATGACATCCAATAATTTGTGTACTCCAGTGCCATCGTCCCATGTCACTATGATATCCAATAATTTGTGTACTCCAGTGCACATCCGGTCCAATATCACTATAATATAGGTCTATATAAATACTCAACGGCATATCAGGCTACGTTTGTTGGTTCTCCGGTATATTATCCGTTACACAACTATTTATGTGTTTGTCATTATGATAAGTATCTACTATATTCCAGTTTCCAACGGTGTACTATTTTATTTGTCACTCTGTTGCACATCTATGTGGGTGCTATAGTTCCCAATGGTCCACTATTCTATGTGTCACTGTGTTACATATTTATGTGGATGATACGGTTCCCAATGGTCCACTGTTCTGTGTGTCACTCTGTTACACATCTATGTGGGTGTTCCAGTTTACAATGTTTCAATTTCTTATACGTCACTCTGTTACATATCTGTGTATGTGTGCTCCAGGTCACAATGTTTCAGTATTTTATACGTCACTCTGTTACATATCTGTGCATGTGTTCTCCAATTCACAATGTTTCAATTTCTTATACGTCACTCTGTTACATATCTCTGTGGGTGCTCACATCGTCTACATGTTCATCACTTACAAACATATATACATATATACACACACACACATATATTAATGTTCCAGTCCACAATATTGGCATGTTTATGAGGGTACTCCAACACACGATACAAAGCCAACACATATATTAATGTTCCAGTCCACAATATTGGCATGTTTATGAGGATACTCCAACACACGATGCAAAGCCAACACATATATTGCTGGGTAGTAGTGACAGATCCGAAATCTTAGAGATAAGTTACTTACTCTCGTTATTTCTCAAACATATATTAATTTATTTTTGCTCATTTCAGAAATTTCGAAACATTACGTATGGGTAGGTAATTCTTAACTGTACTTACAGATTACAGCTCTTTAGAATAAGTGGTATCAAAATATTGTATCTTTAATTATATGGGATAGTTCATGAACATCGTAGTTCATCAATGGAAACCCCATGACGTTTACTTAGTTTAATAATTCATAGATTGATTATATTGCTAACACTATAAAAACGACCTTCTTGTGAAATTAAGAAAACTATACTACTGTTTGTAATATATACACATTATTATATTAACATATTTTTAATGCAATAATGTAGCATTTTACTATTGTATCAATGTTTTATTACGAAAGTCTTTCATTAAAGAAAAAACTTTGTAGTAGTTGTTACAAAATATGTGGATTTACCTTCTCTTCCTATCAGTTCAGGCTACGGATATAAATCGAAACAGACGCAGAAGGATTTTGCATTTGCTGTACATCTGAAAACTTGTATGTTTCATCCCAGTTTTCACAAATATGATTCCAGTTATCCGCAGAGAAACACGATCTGACAACAAAGTAAGTGACGAGAATACGATAACAAGTTGTTAAAAATATATAATATAGGTTTTTGAATTCAATAATTTACAGCGCATGTCTCAAACGTATTTAGCCGCAATCTCTGAGTTATGTATACATTTACCTATCAAGATACTTGTTTCTCTGCTTATATATTTATGTGACTATCTATTTGTCTGTTTGTATGTTTGTCTATGTGTTTATCTGTTGTGTACTTTCTGGTTATCTGTTTATATTTATTATCTATAAATTTGTTGTGCGATATTTTTGTTCATACATTTTTGATCTGCGTGACAACTTATCTGTAAGTAAATTTATTTTTATGCTTATTTATCTATATATATCTTTCCATATCTGTATAGCTATATGTATCTCCGTATTTTCACATCTATATAGTTGCATAAATCTATGTAACTTCTCATCTGGCTAGCTATATGTATCTCCGTATTTCTACATCTGTATAGTTACATATATCTATTTATCTCCGTATCTGTATAGCTATGTATATCTCCGTATTTGTACATGTGGATAGCTGTAAGTATCTCCGTATTTGTACACCTGTTTAGCTATATTTATACATCTCCGTGTTTGTACATCTTTCTAGCTATATTTATCCACTTGTCTACCGATAGGTACATCTGTTCATCTATATATATATTTGTTTCTCTATCTGTTTTTACTTTGTGTAATTTGTTTAGCCACCTTTTCATCTGTTTTTTTCTATTAAGTAAGTTATTGATCTATCTCTTTATGTATCAAACAAACTGTTTTCTATTTACATTTTTGTATATAATATACATAATTGAAATATTAACACAAATTCATGAGCATATACAATCTATATTTTCTCTATGGAAATACATATTTATGTTTGTGTGAAAAAGATGGTCGAAACATTGTGTGAGAATCATAGCTTCATCTGTAAATAGCGTTTTAAAACCAGTAGAGAATCGATATCCAATTTACTATAATTTTTTAAACGTTGAGCCTGTAATTTACTGTTATGGTTTTATGAATTTTGCATTGGTAAATTCAAAAGCAACGGCTGTTGCCTTTATCCTGACGTAATTGCATTATTTGCCTCGATGTTCAGAAGTTTTTTAAACGCTTGTATATTGTAATCTACTGAGGTATTAAGGTGCTTTTGATAAAAGAACTCTCGGTGTCTATTACTCAACATCACGTATAAACAACTAAGTTTAGCACATCTCATCCCACGGAAGACTGGTTTGGAGTATAACAACAATAGAATCACAGTTTAGGCGAGCACGTTATTGATTTTTTGTTGTTGTTTCTTTCACCTAAACGGGATATCATTAGGTGCTTTCTCATTTCGTTCACAGCGTTAATGTATTCCAATTTCGTTTAAATTATACACATAAATATGAATACAGCTTTGAAGAGAGAGAAAATTAAATGAGGTTTTGTAAGATCGTGGAAGGCATAACATATAGTTATGAGGTAGAAGATACGCTTGAAGTGAGGGTATACAACTGATAACAGAGATTTCAGGACAATGAACAGTGATCCTGGAGGCTGTGCTTTTGGCCTAGATCCGCAGACCGGTGTTTAAAACAAATCTCAGCAGAAAAAGTGGTCCATCACATCTCGCTATGGATGATGTTCCCTCAAATTTACCATTTAGCACGTGAAGCGCGTTTTAATGCATACTTATATATATATATTAGAGAGAGAGAAAAAACATATGTTTCGTCAAAAAACACAGTTTGATAAGCATGCAAATTCAAAATTACTTCTTAGGTCTACAGGGTCCACATAATAAAAAGTTAAACATTTTCACGTGACTAATTAAGAGACAATTTCTTCTTTAGGTGTAATAACTAACTCATTAACAAATAACTTCAAACTTTAAATGTAATAACTAACTCATTAACAAATAACTTCAAACTTTAAATGTAATAACTAACTCATCAACAAATAACTTCAAACTTTAAATGTAATAACTAACTCATTAACAAATAACTTCAAACTTTAAATGTAATAACTAACTCATTAACAAATAACTTCAAACTTTAAATGTAATAACTAACTCATTAACAAATAACTTCAAACTTTAAATGTAATAACTAACTCGTTAACAAATAACTTCAAACTTTAAATGTAATAACTAACTCATCAACAAATAACTACACCTTTAGATATAATAATTAACTCATTAACAAATGACTTCCCCTTTAGGCATAATAACTAACTCATTAACAAATAACTTCAAACTTTAAATGTA